TGGTGGCTCACAACCATCTGTAACTCTAGTGTCATGGGACCTAATGCTCTCTTCTGTCTTTTGTGGACACCAGGCATGCACATGGTACACAGACACACATGCAGGTAAAACAGACATACCAAAATTATAAAATGGATCATTGTCATCTGTGGTGCTGAGGAAAGTCTCCAGGGATTTGTGCATGGTGGCAAATACTCTTTGAATGCAAGTCCTTGCTACATAGCCAGCCTGTCCCCACATGACAGCAGGCTCTGGCTGCTCCTCCTAACTCAAACCCAAACACACAGGAATCCATCTATCTATATCTGTAGCATCCTATCTTTCAAGAGGTGGTTTTGAATGGAGCCATTTCCAAACATTATCCCTCTAGCAGATCCACACGGCCTTTTTTCCTGCCTCTTGTTACGTTATCTGAGTCTTCCTCAAGTTACAGTTACCTGCTCCCTACCCACACCCCTGCCCCAAAGTGGTCACAAGAAGAAAACAGTTGTAAGTTCTTAGCTCGTCGGAGCTTGAAGGGCCCTTATCCATCACCACCTCTGACACTGACTCTCTCTCTCTCTCTCTCTCTCTCTCTCTCTTGCTCTTTTGAGCTAGGGTTTCTCTGTGTAGCCCTGGCTGTCCTGAAACTCGGTTTGTAGACCAGGCTGGCCTTTAACCCAGAGATCTACTTGCCTCTGTCTCCCAAGTGCTGGGATTAAAAGCATGCTCCATTATCGCCCGGCCCACCTCTGACTCTTACTCTGCAGGTGTGGAGAAGTAAGAGGCCTGACCTTAGGCCTGGCCTCTAGTGGACAGCAGGGTGCAAGGAAGATCCCCGTCTTGGACTCCTTATGATGGCTCTTTCCACTGTATCAGGCTGCCTCTAAGACTCTCAATTCAGAAGACAGTGCTGGGCATGTGACAAACACTTCATAAATATCCCATCCATTAAGAGATGTAGAGCAGCCTGGGAACACAGACTTCCCACTGCAAGGGCTCTTGGCTCAGTGTCACCAGCACAGAGTACCAGCTGCCCACCCCTAGGGCTTGGGTGGCCTAGACGCAGAAAGAGCTCACATGACTCAGAAATGCAGTTCCTATTGCATGGTCCTGGCCACTGCCCTTTGAGAAATCTTGAGCAATGACTCCACTTCTTGTGGATGAGATGCTGAGAAGTGCCTGGAGGAAAAGCTCTAAGTCTTCTAGGCAGTCACGGACACTAGACAGACTGTAACAACAGAAAAGTCATAAGCATGGTGGTGCACACCTATAACCCCAGCATGTGGGAGTTCCAGGGGGCAGAGGCAAGAGACCATGAGTTCAAGGCCAGATTGAGACCTTGTCTCAAAAGACAAAACCAAACTTAGCTCCTGCTTCTAGAAGCCTCTCAGGACAGGAAAGGGTCTGATCCACCAGGAACAAATGCATAATTCTGAATAGTGTCACAGCATGATGGGAGGTGGTCTGTCACACTCTGTCACTACCTTCTAAGCTGCTGGGGAGAACTCACGGCCTCTAACACTTTTTGGCACTGGGAGGAATCTTATTATCATTATTCCCAAATTCACCACAGGATAAAAAGATGCCAATGGCATCAGCTCTCTAGGTCTTCTTGACTCACAGGGTGGGGAGGGCCATCTCTTCCTCTTTCTCTACTCCCAACTTATAATATTTATCAGTTTCCCTCCCAGACATCTTTTCATACCTGCATATTGGACTTCTTAAAACTCAGGACTGGCTCCTGCTCTTTCCTGACCCATGCACTTGGCCTAGAGCCCAGCTAATGAATGATAACAAACACTGAGCCCTGTTCAAAAGGACTGAGAAGCCCTCTACCCTGTGCTGGGAATAGAGCCACGTTTAGACTTTTAGAGCCAGCCAGTGCATTGAGTCTGTCTGAGTGGTGGGGACACTGACCTCAGAGGGAGACTGGCTTCCCCAAGGCGACCCAGTCTAGGGGAGGGCTTAAACTAAAAGCGCTTCCTTGACTCCCAAGCCAATGTGTCCACAGCTCTATACTCCCCAGGTTCTGTAGTATTTTGTTGCCAACCTAGCTCTGGGCAACACTCTCAGCCTGTCTGTCTAGCTTCCTCACTGCAAAATGGGTAAAATGATGTATGGAGCCTACATATTAAGATGGTCTGAGGTGTAAATAATTGAAAGCATATTAAAATAGCACACAGGAACACCCAAAAAAAACGCATTTGTCATGACTATCATTCAGACCCAGCCAATCTCCTTGAGAAAGGGGAACCCTCAATCCATCAGCTAAGCAGAGCTCATGGCAAGAGCTCTGCAGCCCTGACTCACACTCTCTTCAGCTCAGCCCAGCATGTCCTCTGCAGCAGTTATTCAGGGGAGATGTCTGATCTGCCTTCACGATCCTTCACAGCCTTCCTGCCTCTGAACTCCATGCCTGTATGCAAAGACACACACAAACATGCCACATACACTCTACAGCAAGGTATGCATGAGAGGCAGCAGGACATGTGAAAGAGATGGTGCTTCTGAGCCAGATAGACCATTACTTCTTCCTGGGCATCCCCAGGAGCTTCCCTGATCTCACTAAGCCTGTCTCCTCCCTTCCCAGTAGATGCAATTTGCTATACGGATCATCTACAATGCTCTGACATTCCACAAATGATATTAATAAAATAAATAACCATCCATTTTTATTTATAAAAATCCTCTTAAGAAAACTGCAGAACCAGAAGGAGCTCAGGGATCATCTGGTCCAGTCTCCTCCGTATATAGAGGGAGAAGCACGCATACTAAAGAATTAAGCATTCCAAGGTCACTCATTGGATACCATCTGGGACCTGGGACTTCTGACCTTCTACTGCTTTCTATCTCAGCTTGGTTAGTTCTCCTGGGCTGGTCCCCTCCCTCATGCAGCAATGGTTGGAATCACTCTTCCCAGTGTTCTTCCTAGTCATGGCTCCCTAGCCAGTGCCACCTGGACCCTGACTGCCAACCTCAAATTCCCTGGCACATCTGGCCCCTTTGTCCCTAATGAGGAGCCTAGAAGTGCAGGCAAAATGTTTGGTAGCCACAACTGATGGCAATAATGAATACATGTAAACTCAATATAATGGCAACCAACACCTGTGCAGTGTCTGACCTTTGAAAGTCAACTCACTAGTTTCCCCCCACCCCCAATACAGATGGTTTGAAAGCATCATCTTCTCAAATATTTTTAATGCAATACTTATTAAGCACCTGTTTTATGCCTTGTCATGGGCCAGAGGCTGGGGACAGAGAAGCAAAGCCTGGGCCTCTGCCAGGAGAAGCTCATGGTCTAGCAGGGATTTAGGACAGAAGGGGGTGGGGGTGCCTCACACACGCTTTTGACCTAACTGGTGTTGCAGCAAAAGCTCTGCCCTGCCCTGTTGGGAACCTTCTTTATGTTGCTGGCAAAAGGCAAAAGGTATCTGGAATAAACCAAATCTAGACAGGATGGATAGCAGGCTGAAAATGACAGCAAGAAGGAAATAGAGAACAGGAAATACAGCCTGACTTTCTTCTAGGGAAGGCAAGGACTGGTGCGAAACCGGCAAGCCTGGCTCTTGCCCTCCAGCAGCACTCAATCACATGCTTCTGTTCCCCGAGAGGTGACACCCATGGATGACAAAGTCCTTCAAGCCCTTGGCTGGGTTATTCATGACTGCAGGCCACCATCATTTGCTAGAATTGTCTCTTGTGGTGGAAATGTTTGCATCTTTTGGTTGCTGCCCCTTACCTCCTGGCAGGGACACCTCCCACAGAGATGTAGAAGAGTCTGCTGAGGCAAGGAAGAACTCCTCTGTCTTCTAATTTACCTCCAAGTTCTGAATCCTTGCAAACCTACTGTGTGCGTCAAGCCAGTGCTATCTCAAGAGCTTCTGTATGAATCTCATCTTTCCCTTAGAACTCTGGGGCAGTTACCCTTCTCCCCAGGCTTACAAATGTGGGAGTTTAGGCTTGGGGAAGGGAAATAACTTGTCAGGGCAGGGATGTCACCATAGAATCGACTGATGCCACAGTGCTGAGAGACCCACAAGGTCAACATTTTACTTGAGAGGTCCAGAGTCGAAAGAGATTAACCAAGGGGACCCCAATTATTTCAAGGACCTAAACTCAAATTGTTTTAATAGATGAGTCCCCAGATTCATCGAAGCCATGCTCAAGTGGTATGTTGAAGCTGTACACATCATCTAGGCCAGCCCCTGCACTGAACAGACTAGCAAACACCCACACCCAAAAAATAGTTAAGATGTCTACTTGAGGCCAACCAGTAGGTTAAGGCCCAGAACCTCAGGCTCTGGCACTTCCTTACACCCCTCAACTTGCAAGAGACCAGCATTTTGGGGGAAACTCCTCCAGTCCATCCAGGCCTACACACCCAGATGAGCAGAGAAGGCCAAGGCCAGGCGGCCTGGGCCTGTAAGCAGCCTCTCCACCCTGCTGCAGAGTGAGGAAGGGGAGTGTGGGACTTCTCAGGCTGGCAGGTGTTGGAAGCCTTCTGGCTCCTTGCTAGGGAGTGGAAAGAGAAAACAGCATATACCACGGAAGCTCCAGGGAGACTGAGGCAAATTTCCCATTCTAGGGATCATGGGAAATCCTGCCAGAATTCTGCAAGGCTCTGATGTTTCTTAGTGGTCAAGACAGCTAGAAAGCAGTCATAGGCACCTGACCTTGGGGTGGGTGTGCGGTTCCAAAGAGAAGCTCACGTGTTTACGAAATGCCAGAACAGGAAAACAAATAGGAAGGGAGAGGGATTCGTTTCCTAAAACCCACCTACAAGGAAAACCTTGGGCGTCTTCCCTACTAAAATCAGCATCCTCTAATTAGTAAATTTCACGAGAAGGAAAGGGGTGCTTAGGATGTAGGGGAATGGAGGCAGGGTGGGAACAAGTCACGATTATTCCCCTCCTCGGCTGGTGCCCCTACAGGATCGCGCCCCAGCCTTCGTTCTCAAGCTGCCCTCCGCGGTCGCAGAGCCACGCAGAACCCCTCCCGCTCCGCCGCGGCCTCCTCACCTGGGTCCACTCGCCCTCCGCAGTCCCGCCGGCTCGCACGACTCCCGCGCCGCTTGGCGCAGCGCCTCTGCAGTCGCTGCAGCAGCCGCCTGGCGGTGATCAGCAACCTGCGGCTGTGGAGAAGAGAGAGAGACACACACAGACAGGGGCGGGTGAGCACGGGTGGCCGCAGCCCGCAAGCTCGGAGGGACAGGCTGCCCGCCGCGGGCTAGGGCAGCTCTCGGGCTTGGCCGGAGCCCCGCACCCCCGCACTTGCACTCCTGGGTGCGGCGGGCGAGGCTGGGCAGTGGGCCCGGAGGTCCCCGGGGTCCTTGTCATCACCTGCGAAGGCTTCCATGGTTTGGGCTGCCCCAGTAGGGCAGCCGGATTGCTCTCCCGAGCCCCAGCTGGAGGTGGCTTAGCCGGGTGCGTGCTGGGGCTGGGGCTGCCTGGAGGGAGAGGTGGAGGGCGGGGGAGGAGAGGTGGATGGAGGGGATGAGCCAGTCCGCAGCTCGCTGGCAGCTGCGTAAGCCTCCCGTCTTCACTTTCCTTCTTAAAGCGATAGTTAGTTTCTGAGAGCCCTGGAGCCGGGACTACCGCACGTCGGCACGGGGTCCTTTATTATCTCCAAGAAGCTGTTGCACAGAGCTGGAGGGTGGGGAGGGGTGCAAACGGTGTCTAATCAGTGACTGGCAATGCGACCCTGGGAAAATCCCTTCAGCTTCTGTGCCTCAGTATCTCAATACTCCCTGGCACACAGACATCTCACATTAAGTAGTAGTATTATCTGGACGCCTTTCCAAACACTTTTGACCCCCTAAACCAATTTGTGAGTGACAGAGTTACTTAATAAGAACAGCTCTTGGCATTCTAAAGAAAGGAATCTTCAGTACCTGAGGGCATTTAAGAAACGTTATCCTCTGCAGTGTTAAAATAGTAAACTGGATAGACAGGCAATATAAAGCTAAGTGATCCGCAACTGAAGGTCTTTGTTGTGGGTTTCTCCCCTGCCTGCTACCTGGCATCACAAGCGAAACAAAGGACCACAAAATCCAGGAAGCTGGATTTTAGTGGTCCATTTCTAGCCTTCCCATTTCTGACGGCGCTAGGTTAACTTGCTGGCCTGGTTTCTTGCCTGCTCCACTGGGTGGAGAGGGAAGGGGTTCTCTAATCAGCTGTGCCTTTGCTCACAGCCTTCTGGGAATTTTCTCAATCACCTTGCCACCTGCCCTTATTCCACCTCAACTCTCTGGTGTCCTCTTAACTGACTTTTCCCATCACATAGTTTGCTCTTAGCAAATTCCTCCTTGCTGGGCCTCCACACCCGGCTTTTATTTGTTGTTCTGTGGGTTTGAAACAACCCAGACTCCCAGGTTGCTCTTTCGATTACTCCAAGTCTCTGCTCAGACACTGCTGTCTTAGGGAGGCCTTCTGCCATGATCAATCTTCATTGTCAACTTGACTGGATTTAGAACCACCTAGGAAACATATGTTTGAACGTGTCTATGAGAGTGTTTTCAGAGAGATTTGTCTAAGGAAGGAATGCCCACTTTGGATGTGGGCTGGGGCCCAGACTGAATAAAAAGAATAAAAAGCTCATTGAGTCTGAGCATTCACTTCTCTCTTTTCTTCCTGAGTGGGGACACAATGTCACCATACATTTTCTGCCATATTTTCTCTGTCATAATGGACTATACTTCTCTCAAACCGCAGCTACAATGAATCCTTCCTTTTTTAAGTTTTCCTCTGTCAGATACTTGGTCGCTCTCCTCAGAAAAGCCATATACCTTCCTCGATCAACCTACAAGACACACCGATTTCTTCCGTCACTCACCTTTTCTGTGGGTGTGCACACACCTGTGTGTGCATGGGGTGGGTGTGTGTAGACCAGAGGCCTTTTTCTTTTTTTAAAAAAAACACTCCTTACCTTAGTTTTTGAGACAAGGTCTCTCAATGCACCTGGCTGGAGCTCACTCAAGGGTTCAGTTAGACTAGTGCTGCCATGTCTGGCTTGTAGTGGACACTACATGGGTGTTCAGCTCCTCATGCTCTCTGGAAAGCACTTTAGTGGCTAAGCCATCTCCCCAGCATCCCCCCAATGCATTTATGTCTGAGTTTTGCTGTATTTAATCATCTGTAATTGAAAAGAGTTTATTTATTGCTTGTTTAGATGTTTAGAATGTACACATCATTTGGGAAAGGACGTTTTTTCCTCTTGCTATATCCCTAGTGCCTAGAACCAAATCTAACATATGGAAGGTGGTCAGGAAAGATTGGTTGAGACTGAGAGCAAAGCTGAACTTGGTGCCTTTTACTCTTCATCCAAGCTGAGTTTTCCAACAGAGTTTACAAAGCAACTTCACTGATTTACATTAAGACTCTGCAGTATTGGCTTGTTGATTCAAAAGTAGTGTATAAATAAAGTAATATTTATAAAAAATTCATTATTTTGATTTTCCTATTCCTTACAAATCAAATATTTTTCTATAGTTCATATTTACAGTAAATCTACCAGGGGTTCTTTCTATTCCTTTTAACGCAATACATGCCTATTTGGGGAACACTTGTTACATTTTTCTCTCTACTAAATCTTCAGTTAAATTGAATTCTCCTGTCAAATAGCCATCATTATATTACACACTGTGGAAAACCACAAAAGAGAAGTTGTAGCAAGAACAACACATTGCAGTTGAAAAGTTCAGAAAATATCTAAAGAAAAAAAATTAATGCTACACCAAAGAGCTAATTGATGACATGTTTTATCTGTCTTAATGACCAACTAAATTAAACTTCTTCATACCTAAAGCAAAACAAAAGAATACCATGTAATAATTGCATGTTTATGGGGAGAAAATTTCTAAGACTGTCATCTATTTAACTGTCTCCATATCTTGCCCCCCCCCCCCCGTTGGTACTTAGAAGACTACATTTCCCAGAAGTCTCCACTAGCAATGTTCCAAAGCAAGAGAGCTCTTCCACCCACAGGACTCCCATCTGGAATGGTGTCAGCCAGTAAAGAATCCTCCTGAGCCCCAGAAAGCAGGTGATTGAGAAGAGAATCAGTGTTTAGTTATAATGTAAATTGCAACAAATGAGGGTTACAAACATAAAACAAGATGAACTTATCCAAAGAAATCAGTAATTTTGTTTTGTACTAATTAGGAAATATTTAAATTTATTTAAGTTTCAAAAGCAATTTTCATTCCAGCTCTGGGTAAGCACCCTGTTCTCACTGAATGCAGCAATAAAAATCTGAACAAAATATACACACTTGGGAGCTATATGAGGGTTCTTAAGGGAAGCCACCAGCAGGGCTAATTAGAGAAGGCAGGCAGCAAGGTTAAGTCATTGGGGTGGCAGGAACTTAGCAGTTTTGCTTCTTTGGGTATCCTCCAGCCTGAGCTCCAGAGGGTAAACTCTGAAAACAGGAATCAGCACAAGGCATCTCCCAAAGAGTCCTTTCAGCTCTGCCTTGAGATCCAGGAAGGAGGCATCAGATGCTCAGTATGAGTGGGGGAGTGACTTTTCTTTTCAGATCTTTCTCTATTTTCTCACAGTTCAGTTTTTGGCAATCCTGCAGTGGCTGTTGGAACAGTAGGAAAGGCAGGTGGCTAAAACTTGAGGGAAGAGAAGTTACTCCGGCAGAAGAGGTGAGCTGCTGCTGGCTTTGTCTCTCAGTGGTCCCACCCTTGGCTCCAGAGGTAGGTACACCCGGAAGGAAGCTGGCAGCAGGGCAGAGTAGACATGGCTCTCAGCTGCAGCCTTCTGATGAATCCCTAATAATGATCATGATATCAACAATACTTTTCTGTTGCTACTAAACACCAAATCAAGAACATGACCTTGAAAAAGCAGAGACAAATATATATTAATTCTATAGGAATAATCTTTTGGATAACTGTGATGATTTTTCCTCATAAACAATGGAGGGGAAAGGAAAGCAGAACAAACTTAATGAATGACTAAGAGATTTGTCAACAGATTGTAATGCCTAGCAAACATAGCTTTCAAGAATGAAAGCAAAACAGGAACATTTTGAGAGAAAGGGAAGTTAAGAGCTCCACTGGTGGAATTGTTAAGAATGAAGCCAACATTGAACTAAATGGAGAGAAACTTAAATCAATCCCACTGAAATCAGGGACAAGGCAAGGCTGCCCACTCTCTCTGTATCTCTTCAACATAGTACTTGAAGTCCTAGCTTAGAGGAATAAAACAACTAAAGGAGATCAAGGGGATACAAATTGGAAAGGAAGAAATCAAAGTATCACTATTCGAAGATAATATGATGGTATACATGAGTGACCCCAAAAATTCTACTAGAGAACTCCTTCAGTTGACAAACACCTTCAGCAAAGTGGCTGGATACAAAATTAACTCAAAAAAGTCAGTAGCCTCTTGTATATGAAAGACAAAAGGGCCGAGAAAGAAGTTAGGAAAACATCCTTCAGAATAGCCACTAATAACATAAAGTACCTTGTTGTGCCTCTAACCAAGCAAGTGAAAGAACTGTGTGAAAACAAAACAAAACAAAACAAAACAAAAAACAAACTTCAAGTTTCTGAAGAAAAAAATTGAAGAAGATATCAGAAGATAGAAAGATTTCTCATGCTCATGGATCAGTAGGATTAACATAGTGAAAATGGCCATCCTACCAAAAGCAATCTACAGATTCAATGCAATTCCTATCAAAACACTAAAACAATTATTTACAGAACTTGAAATAACAATTCTCAATTTCATATGGAAAAACAAAAAATCCAGAATTGTTAAAACAATCCTGTACAATATCAGATCTTCTGGAGGTATCTCCATCCCTGATCTCAAGCTGTACTATAGAGCAACAGTAATAAAAACTGCATGGTACTGACAGAGAAACATGCTGGAGGATCAATGGAATCGAATGGAAGACCCAGAAATAAACCTACATACCTACAGATTGTTGATTTTTGACAGAGAAGCCAAAACAATACAATACAGTGGAAAAAAGATAGCATCTTCAACAAATGGTGTTGGTCTAACTGGATGTTTACACGTAGAAAAATGCAAATAGATCCGTATTTGTCCCCCTATGCAAATACCTC